CAGATAGGAATTCAATTTTGTTCCATTACTCTACTTGTGGTCTACAGATTATACCGGAAAGCTCACTTACAACGTGTTAAAATAATGGAGGCAAAGGTACAAGGACATGAACCAGAGTGCTGGCAGTGGAATCATGAATAAGGGGTAAATTCTAGAAACACTGGGAAGATGGCCTCAACAGAATTTGGCAATTGATTGGATGTGGGGACTGTTACAGAGGAAGGAATCAAAACCAATTCCTAGAGTTTAAACCTTGGGAACTGTGAGGGAATACAGAATGGTTCCATGAACTGAATTAAAGGGAAGAACGGAGTTTGATCACAGCGGGGCAAGATGATGAATTCTATACGGGACAAGGTGAATTTGAGATGCTAGCTGAAACTCTGGAGCCAAGCTAAGGGCATAGCACAAATTTTACACAAGTGATGTACAGACTGAAGAGGAAAACATAAAGGAAGAAAAGGGGAGGGCCAAGGACAAGTCCTCAAGTAAAGCTTTCAGAGGGCAGAGAAAAAAGAAGTTGCCAGAAAAGGAGAAAAGTGTCCAAAGGTCAAGATGAATGTTTAACGTTTTAAAAGATGGCAGTTTTCAAATTATGTAAGAGTCCAGGACAATAAGGCCAAAAATCCCCACTCTGGTTTCTTCTGGAAACCTTGAAAAAAATGTGTTTTTTTTTTTTTTTTTGAGAGAAGTAGACAGCAAGCGTGAACGGGGGAGGGGCAGAGAGAGAGGGAGAGAGAGAGACTCCCAAGCGGGCTCCATGCTGTCAGCGCCCAGTCCAGTGTGGGGGCTTGATCCCATGAACGGGGAGATCATGATCTAAGCCAAAATCAAGAGTTGGATGCTTAACCAACTGGGCCACCCAGGTGCCCCACATAAAGAATTTTTAATAATTAAAGCTAAACTAAAAAAAACCAAGAACCCTCACTAAGCATGGGAGAGGCAGGAGCTCTACATTAAGCGTTTAGAATCCAGGGTTATTAGCTTTATGTCCTAGGTCTTGATTTTTGTTTTGTTGCCATTGTTTTTTTTTAAAGACTGCGAAGACTCCCCTTTGACCCTAAAATATTATGAATCCTTTAGAGTAAGGAATAAACAACATATAATGTGTTAAAGCACTGGGGCACCTGGGTGGCTTGGTATTAAGCTTCTGACTCTTGGTTTCGGCTCGGGTCACCATCTCCCAGTTCTCGAGTTCGAGTCCCGCATTGGGCTCTGCACTGGCAGTGTGAAGCCTGCTTGGGATTCCCTATCTCCCGCCCCCTTTGCCCCTCCCTCCCTTGCTCTCACTGGCTTTCAAAATAAATAAATAAACTTAAAAAACAAAAAACAAAAAACACTACAACCAATGTGTTAAAGCCCCGAGAGGCAGGACAACACATTAGAAAACGTTCAATACTTCAGACCAGACAAACTTGGGTTCAAGATCTTGCTCCAGTTTACAAAATTTGTGACCTCAAGGCAAATTACTTAACCCTCTTAGCCCGACTTAATCAACCCTGAGTCACAGAGTCATTGTGAGAATGCAATGGAATGATCTAACCTTAAGTCCTTTCCGGAACAAGATGACAGATGTACTTATAAATAAAATGTGATTGAAATAACTATGTTGAGGTCTTGGTCCATTATAGGTGCCCAATAAATGACCAAAATAAAGTCACTTTGAAATCCAGATGCTGTATAATGATTGATATATTCTTATTCATGACCCAGAGGTGTATTCCACAGTTGGGCAGTCTGGAATCCCACACTTCCTTTGGATCTTTATTTGCCTCTAAACTAACACTGCCGGGGAAAAAACAGGAAAGCTCAATGGACACAGGTAAAGGGAAGTTCACAGAGTGGAGATGACAAAGAAAGGGGCTTGTTTTGCATTAGGAACCTTAGAGTTCTCAGTGTTTCTCAGGCCAGAAGTGAAAGAAGAGAGAAATGTAACCAGCACTTTGACCCTGGCTGGCAACAGAGTAGGAAGGACACTTCCCTCCCCGAAAGTTCTGGCTTTAGTCAACCAACTCCAGTAAAACAAACAACAATCACCACTTGGCTTTTTATTGGCACAGAGATTAAGAGGGTGGGGAAGGTGCAGGTAAAGATGATCTAACTTAGAAAACTCCTGGACTTGGCCCTGCTTCGGGGTTCCTCCTGGACGTGCCCTCCCCCACCCAGCCACCGCCAGCTGCTGGCTCCCTCCCCCCCCCACCGGGCCCCACGACTGTTTGTGCCCTGCTTTCAGGACAGGAACTTAAAAGATTTTTCTTTCTTTGACTCAGGAACTGAGAAAGAGGGATCAGGGAGAAGATTTTTAACAGAATACCGGGTTATAGGGTGAAAGGTCGTAAACAACTCTGTCCAAGAGGGCTTCGTTTCAGAACATGCCTTGGCCAGGGTCCTGGCGGGCAGCTGCTCGCGGCCAAAGCCAAATAGTTTTCTGGCACTTAAGGGAACCCAGGCATAGCACAGAGCAAACAAGTGGTCTGTACTGAGTTCTGCAATCTGGGAAAGAGAAAAACAACTGAGCCTGAGAGAGGAACTTAGAGCAAGAGAGGATTGCTTGATGATTTTCAAAACCCCCCAAAAATGCAGCCCTTTATAGATGTGCCCAAATACACACCAGCATTCCCTTTTCCCTAAGACGTCCTAAATCAACACCACCCTGATCTATTTCTGCCCACCTCTCCTCCTTTCCCCTCAAAATTGAGGTAGCTACAATGCCAGGCACTGTTTAACAATACTGACTCATGTATTTCTTTGTAAACATTCGGATGTTTCCTATCTGTGTACCCTGTCATGCCCATCAAACTAAAAGTTCTCCCAGAAGACACAGTTTTGAATCCTTAAAATTATTTTCGGGGCGCCTGGGTGGCTCAGTCGGTGAAGCATCCGACTTCGGCTCAGGTCATGATCTCGTGGTCTGTGGGTTCGAGCCCCGCGTCAGGCTCTATGCTGACAGCTCAGAGCCTGGAGCCTGTTTCAGATTCTGTGTCTCCTTCTCTCTCTGCCCCTCCCCAACTCATGCTCTGTCTCTCTCTGTCTCAAAAATAAATAAACATTAACAAAAATTTTTTAAATAAAAAAATTATTTTAGTGAGAGTACTACCCGCCTACTCCTGATACAGACTGAAAAACAACTCACCTTGCTGATTAAGTTTCTAAAACAGGGTGCTGCCTCAAACCCACACACCCCAAGGATCAACATGTTCCCTTTTGTGTTTCTTAGGGCTGCTGTGTGTGTGTGTGTGTATGTGCGCTTTCCAACAGAGTTTTGATGCCTGCGTCTTGAGCTTGCTTAATAGTCGTGCTGGGTTGTAACTTGCTAGCCGTAGGGTGTCAGCCCAGTTATGGTTTATGAGGAACGAAGAAGGATCCTTAAGGGCAATGAATAGCCTTCTTTTTGCTGACAATAGGATTTCTGTATATCCTAATACTTCTCGTTTACTTCCCCCTCTGTCTTGGCAGCACGCTTGTTCTCTTTCCAGCATTAAAAAAAACAATGCGGTAGTAATCTCCTGATACCTGAACACAGACTTGGGAGGGGCCCAGGAATTGAAGAAAAGGCATGGGGGGACATCCCTGTATTTCTGCAAGTCTTTCTGAATGTGTTTACGAATGCTTTCTCAGGACTCAGCTCCTAAGTCATCTCATGATGGCCAGAGGGTGTGGTGGGGGGAAACCTATCTGAGAGCCAAAGGACAACACAAAGTGAGGAGTCAGAGTCTCTTTCGTCTTGAACACAGAGTGTCCCGGTGACCCTTTTGTCTTCTCTTTCCTTACTGGGATTTCTAAAGGGCTCAGAAGAGTGTTTTTAAAAGATAGGAAAGCTCTTCAAGCAGGAATGCATCTCTCCCCTGATGCTTTGGTTACAATCAAGAGAGCTTTGAACTAGAAGGCTGCGAAGAGTGAGGGCAACAGATCCAGGGATGTACCTGTGATTTAGTGACTTTCAGAGGGGATGGAGATAAGAGGAGCACAAGTAACTCAGGAAGAAGGTTAAAACAAGGGAAGCGTCTTTTTTTCCTTTATCCTTTCCTAAGAAATAGGGGAGAAAGAGATATATCAGAGCCCAGAGAGCACACCTTACTAAAGAATAATAGGTAACTGTGGCGGGAGATAAAATGTTCCCCAGCTTTGCAGGCAGGAACTGAAGAGACGAGGGGATAAAGCAACAGGATGTGAACACGCCCTATTTCCACGTTCCAGAGAACACAGAGAACAGAATAGAAGGTACAGGGGGTGAGAACAGCTCAGGCACGCAGTTCCGGGGCTCCGAGGGGCTGGAGAGGGGGCAGGGAGGCGAGCAGGCTCGCAGACCCTCGGCACCCTGAGGACTGAAAAGAGGTTTACAAGGGATGACAAGTTCTCCTTTTCGGTCACAGTTATTTGGGGGGGTTTGACAGAGACGCGGGGCGAGAGAAGGACAAAGGGGGGGTTCTTCCTGAGCAGTGCCACCAGCGCTCCCTGGCCTCCGCCCCAATCCTGAAGTATTACTGGAGCGAAGGGATTGTTTTTCACAGGACTTGCGACTTGTGAGCCGGGAATAAACGGTCGCCCCTAAATTAATTGCACTGGCTCAGGCTCGGCACGAAATTCCCACCTAAGCACATTTTCCTCCCGCCTCGCACACCGCTCCCAGCCCAGAAGCATCTGCAACCCACCCGCCAACGGCCACCAGCCGTTGATTAACTTGCGATCAATGTTAAGGTCAGAGACGCCCCGCTTCCTCCCGCGCGGGGGAGAAGCCGCTCGCAGCCCCTCCGCCCCCTCCTCCTAGCGAGGCAGCGGGGCACAACAACCATTTTCCCCGCCAGGAGCACACCGTGTCCACGCGCCGCTGCGGCCGCGCTGATTGGCTGGGCTCCTGGTAAACAAGGGCCGGGCAGCCAATGGGAGGGCTGTGCACGAGGGCAGCACGAGCCTCCGGGCCAGCGCTCGCGTGGCCCTGCTCGCCTCACTACTATATAAAAACAGTTTCCGGCTCCAGTCAGAAATCTTACTTTCCTCTCACCGTACTGAGCGTGTGGGTTGCTCCGCCGCCGCGATCCGGGGCGCTCCTCCAGCTGTTGGAGGAAAGAAAAGAAAGCGGATTCGGGGGAAAACTCCTTGGCAGAACCCGCAGCTTACCTTTTTTTCTGACCTCTTCGTTCGATTCTAGCGGAGAGTTGGAAGGGAGTGAGATACCCTTAATTTACTGTAGAGTTAATTTTTGGATTGGGGACTTCCCCCCCCCCCCCCCCAGTCTCTCGTCCGTTTTTAACTGCTAAGCCAACCCAGCCCAAGCATGGTGATGTTCAAGAAGATCAAATCTTTCGAGGTGGTCTTTAACGACCCTGAAAAGGTGTACGGCAGTGGGGAGAAGGTGGCTGGCCGGGTGGTAGTGGAGGTGTGTGAAGTCACCCGAGTCAAAGCGGTCAGGATCCTGGCTTGCGGAGTGGCGAAGGTGCTGTGGATGCAGGGATCCCAGCAGTGCAAACAGACCTCCGAGTACCTGCGCTACGAAGACACGCTTCTCCTGGAGGACCAGCCGGCAGGTGAGCGGCGCCCGCGGTTTGCTGGGAGGGTGGCAGCTCATTCGGGAAGAGCGGTGAAACTGACCATTGGAGCCTATGCTAACTGTTCCAAGTTCAGCGGCGTGAATTCCGTGCTGCTTCCTCTTTTCGTTTTAACTTGCAAACTCCTCCAGAGGGGGTCGTTTGTACAGTTTCCTACAGTGTTGTGTTCTGAAGGTGATCCTGGGGGATGGTGCCTTAGCTATTTAAGGATTTTTTTGGTATGCATAAGTTGCTCATTCTTTGCGCGCTTCCTGTTTGAGACGGTAGTAGCCTTTCATTCTTGTAGGGTTTTGTAACTTTTTTTTTTTTGCCGAGTACAATGCATCAGAATCTCATTTTAGAACATAGGAGATGAAAATGGGGGAAGCACAGACCGCAGGCTTGCACGCTGCCCAAGAATTCCTTATCGCACAACTGCATTTTAAGTGTAACGAGAAACTTAACGGGCTACTCGCTTTTCTTTCATTTCAGGTGAAAATGAGCTGGTGATCATGAGACCTGGAAACAAATACGAGTACAAGTTCGGCTTTGAGCTTCCCGAGGGGTAGGTGTCTGCTGAGTGCATTTTCGGACCTTTTTTTAATCTCTCAAATTCTTCCCCCACCTATGATCACTTCCTGTTCTTGGAGAGCATTTTAGATGAGCTGCTTGTTTTTCCCTGACGCACAGGCCTTTGGGAACATCCTTCAAAGGAAAATACGGGTGTGTAGACTACTGGGTGAAGGCTTTCCTCGATCGCCCCAGCCAGCCAACCCAAGAGACGAAGAAGATTTTCGAAGTGATGGATCTCGTGGATGTCAATACTCCTGATTTAATGGTGAGGTTCATTTTAAAATTCTCCTCTTTTGGGTTTCAGGGATGAGAAATTAAGTGTCTTGGGTGTTAGGTCAAAGCACTTTGGGGAATTCAGCCCTAAATTACTAAGGTGGGAGGGAGAGTTGCCTGTTCTAGGTAAGGAGTGGAAAGGGGAAAAAATAAAGCAGAGAAAGGATCTCTAGAAATTCTCAAAATCTCTTTTTACCCTTATTCAATATAGGCTCCTGTGTCTGCTAAAAAGGAGAAGAAAGTTTCCTGCATGTTCATTCCTGATGGGCGAGTGTCTGTCTCTGCCCAGATTGACCGAAAAGGATTCTGTGAAGGTAAATGCTTAGTCCTTTTAAGGGCAGATTGATACACTGCGGGTGTGGGAGTGAGGGTCAGGGAGGGGGCGGGAGAAGAGTCATCAGTTGTCACCAGTGTCAGCTAAGAAGTCTTCATCTTTCTCCTCCTCAGGTGATGAGATCTCTATCCATGCTGACTTTGAGAACACGTGTTCCCGCATCGTGGTCCCCAAAGCTGCCATAGTAGCGCGCCACACTTACCTTGCCAACGGCCAGACCAAAGTGCTGACGCAGAAGTTGTCATCGGTCAGAGGCAATCATATCATCTCGGGGACCTGTGCGTCGTGGCGTGGCAAGAGGCTCCGGGTGCAGAAGATCAGGCCTTCCATCCTGGGCTGCAACATCCTGCGGGTCGAATACTCCTTACTGGTGAGTGTGGTGGAGTCGGGGAGAGAAGTTGTCCCCCGGTCAAGGTAGCAGTGTTTTCTGCAGACCTCTGGTCTAACAAGTGGTCGTCTTCCTTGCTAGATCTACGTCAGTGTCCCTGGCTCCAAGAAGGTCATCCTTGATCTGCCCCTGGTGATTGGTAGCCGGTCGGGTCTGAGCAGCCGGTCGTCCAGCATGGCCAGCCGAACCAGCTCTGAAATGAGTTGGATAGATCTGAACATCCCTGATACCCCAGAAGGTGAGCCAGGCCCAGTCTTGTGCTGTCTTCCGCCTTGGGTTTGTGCAGCTGCCATGGTCCGGTGTGTCCCAGCCAGACTTCTCACGCCTGTGTTGTTTCTAGCTCCTCCTTGCTATATGGACATCATTCCTGAAGACCACCGATTGGAGAGCCCCACCACCCCTCTGCTGGATGACACGGACAGTACTCCCGACAGCCCTATTTTTATGTACGCTCCCGAATTCAAGTTCATGCCGCCACCTACCTACACAGAGGTGAGAACTGTCATCCTGGCGCTGCCGTTTTTTCTTCAAGCTTCCGTAGGAAGTTGAGCTGGAGGCATTGCTAAACTGGGTGGTTCTTTCAGTTCTTGCCCAAACTAAAATGGTCTTTGCTTTCTCTCCCTTCTCGCCTCCCCCCTGCCCCCAGGTGGATCCCTGCGTTACCAACAACAACAACAACAACAACAACGTGGAGTGAACTTGTGGAAGAAAAGCAGCAGCTGTTCCTCATTTCTTTCTGCCTTTCTTCCTGGACGCTTCCATTTCCAGAGACTCTGCAGTCTCTCCACGGGGGCCTGGGCCCCCCCAACCTCCGAAGTCCAGGCAGGCGGCCTCCTGGGCCTTAAAATGGTGCACGCTCGTCCTCAGCTAGGGAGGCGTCGTGATTCGGGAGTGTTTGCTGGATGACTGTGAAAACGCACTACAAAAACCTGGGCCCATCCCGTTTTCTCAGATCTTGAAAATTGAGGCATTCTTAGTAGTTTCAAACAAGGGATAGGGATGGCCTCCTGACATGGTCTTCTGTATCTCTGTGCCATGTGGAGCAGAGCCAATTTAGCAAATTAGGGAGACGAAAAGGAAAAAAAAAATTATGGCCAAAATTTTGGGACAAGAAGGTTCTTAAAATCAGTGTTGCCTTTTGTTTTACACTTATGACGAAAAAAAACAAAACAAAAACTTAACCTTCCAGAACTGATTTGATTTGAACTTTGGAGAGTAGCTTCCCATGTGAGTTAAAAGCAGCAGTTCTAAGGTTGTCTTTGCTCAGAGTGTACTTTAATGTGACGTAAAGCAGCGAGCCGGTGCCCCACCCAGGTCTCCAAAGCCATGTGGAGAGCCTCTCGCACTGTGTTCTGTTGCAAACCTTTTCACGTGGGAGAATGGGTTTCTCCTTCGTGTGACTCCTTGGAATGGATTCTGAGGTGGTAATTCTTAGCACTTTAGTTCTTGGCAAAAAAAAATTTTTTTTTTCCTCTCAAACGGAAGCAGAAACTGGTCTACTATGTCCCTAGGGCTAAGCACGATGACAAGAAAGAAAAGAAAAAAAGTGTTACTCCTCAGTTTGGAGACTTTGTGCCGGTGTCCGGAGTGCTGTCACTCTAACACCGCGCTGTGTGAGAAGGGTTGCTGCTGTCAGCCTTGCCCGCTGTGCTGCCTCCACCCCCCAGCAGGAGCCTTCGACCAAGATGCCCCCAACACTGTGATCGGAGCTTCCAGACCTGAGCGGGTGGTCCTCACCCCGGCCCCCAGAGCCCCCTTCCCGGGCCAGTGTCGGGGGGGACCGGGGTGTTGACAGCCGTCTCACTGCGGCCTTGGTCAGTGCCCCTCAGCCTTAGCACTTTGCTCCCTGTCCTGTGTCAGAGCACTGAGCTCCACCTTTTTCTGAAAAAGTATGTGGGCTGAACTTGGTTTCATTTTTTGTTTGTTTTTTAAATGTCTATCTTTTTGTATGATAAGAACTATATTTTGTACTTAACCAAATATATTTTCACCCCAAGTTGGGGGTATTCTTTGTAAAAAAAAAAAAAAAAATAAAGTTTTTTAATGGCAAAAACAGTTTTCTTGTCTGTGAGGTGGTTACTAGAAAGTGTGCCTGAAGGAGCTTGACCCCTACTTAATGGTTCACATTCTCCCTGTGGAGAAAGCCTTCCCTATTGACCCTGATGATTATAGTCAGAGCAGGGGTTGAGGTGAAAAAGGAAGGAATTGAAGCTACGTTTAGTCTTTTCTCCAGGTAACTAAAGAACTGTAGACGGACCTTCTGGCGGTCTAGGCTAGTTTTCTGCACTTGTAGATACTTGTGGTGAAATCCCTTCAGTTTTGGAGTGCGCGCGCTTTTTTTTTTTTTTTTTTTAAATGGACTCTTGAGGGAGGGGCACCGAGGGGCTCAGTCCGTGGAGGGTGATCTGGGATCCTGCGTTCAAGCCCCATGCTGGGTGTGAAGATTACTTAAAGATTTAAGAAGTTTTTTAATGAGCCCATGGGGTATCTGGCTGGTTCAATTGGTAGAGTATGGGACTCAGGGTTGTGAGTTCGAGCCCCAGGTTAGGTGTAGTCACTACTAAAAGTCTGTTACAAAATAAAATGAACTATTGAAAGACCCAGAACTAAGATCGGTGAGAGAATCTGAAAGGAAAGGTTTAAAGTTCCCTATTTTATAATTTGGTGTCATGCTGCAGTTTCTTCTCAGCTAGACGTGGTTTATACACAGTAAGACATAAGATTATAATCATTCAGGACTTAAGGATCTAGACTTTGGAGTATTTGCTACCATCTTTTCTCTCTGCTGTTCCTAGCATGGTCCTGTAGAAGAAACACATCCTTGTAACTCAGGGTTTGAATATTTAACCCCGCCCTCATCCCTTAGGATATGCTTCTGCGGTTCCTATTTCTTACTTATAGGTTGATAACAATAGATGGCTACCACAAATCCACCTCTAACTGAAATGATTTTTATTCTTTTAAGAAAAATTTTTTAATGTTTTATTTATTTCTGAGAGAGAGAGAGAGACAGCATGAACAGGGGAGGGTCAGAGAGAGAGGGAGATACAGAATCTGAAACAGGCTCCAGGCTCTGAGCTAGCTGTCCGCACAGAGCCCTACGTGGGGCTCGAACCCACAGACGGTGAGATCATGACCTGAGCCAAAGTCAGACACTTAACCCACTGAGCCACCCAGGCGCCCTGATTTTTAATATTCTTAAAGGGGTGACGAGTACAAGAACCCGGAGACCGCAGAGGTTAATGTGCTTCCTGGTTTCTGGCTTAAACCTTTGCAGACAGATCTACTCCTGGTCCTTGGCTGGGAATTTGGGGGGTGGCTTTTCTGAGAACTTCCATGGGCTAATTACAAACCTCAGACTCCTGTAGTTCATAAAATCAGCGTGAATTGAGAAGGTGAGATTGAAAAGATTGACAAGATTCTTTCCCACTTCAATCTTCTTTCATCTGTTCATTCACAGGAGCCCTTCTCTCTTCTGGCTCTGTTTTTCTTTCCCAAGGTGTCAGTCTCTAGCTCCCAGTTGCCATGGTGACTCTCTCCTTTACGCTTACCTGGGCTGCCTCCTTTTCTTACCTGTTCAGGAATTTAGTGGCTCCTCCCTTTCCCCTTGAATTTGACCAGGAAACTAGGTCAAAGTTGATGGAAAGTTTTTGTGCAGCTTGTTTTCCAGGGACTTGGAGGGGTGGAGCAAGGGCAAGAGCAGGCCAGAGGGCAGGAGGAAGAGATGGAGAGAAAGCTTGGCTGCTGGTGTAAACAGCCAGGCGAATGGGACAAGATCTGAGAAGCGGATAGCAGGGAGAGGGTAGATAACCAACACCTGAGGTCCGTTAGAGCTCTGATCCTCGAACCACTGGAACAAACGCATCCTCTCCTAACGCCTCAAATTCAACGCCGTCCACCAGAACTTTCCGTGATGATGGAAATATTCTGCATGTTCACTAAAATGGTAGCCATTCGCCACACGTGGCAACTGAGCTCTGAAGTGCGGTGGTGTGACTGATGAACTGAATTTTTATTTTTGTTTCATTAAATTAGCTCCGCTAGTTCAGCGATGACCGTCTTGAACAGCGCAGCAAAATATGAGGACGGAAGGCAGCTGTTGAACTCAGAGGAAACTCATCCTTTAGAGCTTCCTGTCGAGCACAGAAGGCTCCACTCAGACTTTCTTTTGCCTTCTACACACATTTTCTACCTTACCTCAGGACATTTTCTTTTTTTTTTTTTAAGGTTTCTTTTTAATTTATTTCGAGAGAGAGAGAGAGAGCGTGAGCAGGGGAGGGTCAGAGAGAGAGGGAGTCACAGACTGAAACAGGCTCCAGGCTCTGAGCCGGCAGTCAGCACAGAGCCCGACGCGGGGCTCGAACCCAGGAACCGTGAGACCATGACCTAAGCGAAAGTCGGACGCTTAACCGACTAAGCCACCCAGGCGCCCCACCTCAGGACATTTTCTGCATGTAGGCTCTCAAGTACACTTCCTTGGGTACTGGCCCAGCTATTTCTCCACTTAACTGGGTAGATTTTGGGTCTTCCTTTCCCATGCTCTTCTCATGTGCCTTTTAATTTTTAAAGAGCTATAACTATAACCTCCGTGTACAGCCGCTAGAGGGGATCCAGTTCTTAGTATCATTTCTTTGTTAGGTCCAACCTGGTACACCAAGGTCTGAGAGAAGACAGCAAGAAAACGATCTAAAGTTTCTCTTTTGATGTTTTATTTCTTTCTAGGAGAGAGAGAGAGAGAGAGACAGTGTGAGCAGGGGAGGGTCAGAGAGAGAGGGAGTCACAGACTGAAACAGGCTCCAGGCTCTGAGCTGGCAGTCAGCACAGAGCCCGACGCGGGGCTCGAACCCACGAACCGCGAGATCATGACCTAAGCGAAAGTCAGACACTTAACCGACTAAGCCACCCAGGTGCCCCAGCAAGAAACTGATCTAAAGGGAGAGAAGAGCTAGAGAAAGTAACATTAACAAGACAAGGGCAAGAACTCCCACAGCCAGCATCCTTGGCTAGTTTGATACCTCTGAACAGACCAGAAACACAAGGCTGTAACTTGGGTTGAGCCCCTTGGAGGAAGGAGTTTAAACAGATCTGTCCGTGCACCTGGTCAACAATCACATAGGAACTAGAGGGCATGGGGTGGGGTGAAGGAGTGTCTTTTGCCCAGTTCTTTCAACAGTCTTGGACTATCTATCCTTGGACTATCTATTTCCAGGCGATGGAATACAAAAGGTAGATAAGGAAAATATTTTACTGACCGTCCACTGGTCATAACCCGTATCTCAAGCACCCTGACCTCAACGGTTCTGGACCAGAAGAGAAGAAATTTTTGTCTCATTCTCTGTTCTTACCCGTCACTCACCACCATTTCCTAAGTTGGAAAACATTCTGCAGAGAGCCCACAAATCCAGGGCTACAGGTTCTGGCCCAATATGTGAGTCTAAAACCTGGAAAAAGTTCAGGGATCAGCCTTCCTGTACTACTCAGGAGAAAAAAATATAGTGTGGAGCTGAACTATCTAAATTCCAATCTTTTTTTTTTAAACTTTTTTTTTAATGTTTTATTTATTTCTAGGAGAGAGAGAGAGAGAGAGAGAGACAGCGAGAGCAGGGGAGGGTCAGAGAGAGAGGGAGATACAGAATCTGAAACAGTCTCCAGGCTCTGAGCTGGCAGTCAGCACAGAGCCCAATGCGGGGCTCGAACCCACGAACCGTGAGATCATGACCTAAACGAAAGTCAGACGCTTGACCGACTAAGCCACCCAGGCGCCCCTATCTAAATTCTGATCTTTTTTTTTTTTAAATATTTTTTATTTCTTTCTAGGAGAGAGAGAGAGAGAGAGACAGCGTGAGCAGGGGAGGGTCAGAGAGAGAGAGGGAGTCACAGACTGAAACAGGCTCCAGGCTCTGAGCTGGCAGTCAGCACAGAGCCCCATGCGGGGCTCGAACCCACGAACCGCGAGATCATGACCCAAGCAAAAGTCGGACGCTTAACCGACTAAGCCACCCAGGCGCCCCTCTAAATTCTGATCTTAATTCCACCATTTGACGAGCTTTCTGAGCTACAGTCTATTTACCTGTGAAGTGGGAAATAACACCTACCTCAGAAGATTATGCTGAGGATTTTTAAAAATGTTTTATTTATTTCTGAGAGAGGGAGAGAGACAGCGTGAGCAGGGGAGGGTCAGAGAGAGAGGCAGATACAGAATCTGAAACAGGCTCCAGGCTCTGAGTTGGCTGTCAGCACACAGCCCGACACATGGCTTGAACCCACGAACCGTGGGATCGTGACCTGAGCCAAAGTCGGAGGTTTAACTGACCCAGGCGCCCCTATGCTGATTTTAAAAATATATGGGAAGTGGGGCGCCTGGGTGGCTCCACTGGTTAAGCGTTTGACTTTGGCTCAGGTCATGGTCTCGCAGCTCATGAGTTCGAGCCCCGCATCGGGCTCTGTGCTGTCAGCTTGGAGCCTGGAGCCT